AGAGAGGCAAACAAAGTGAGTGAGACCCGGCATTCTGCAAAGTTGGCTCACTGTTCCGGGCTTTAAGCTTCTATCCCAAAACACACCACTCAGACTTTCAAGCCACTTGTCAGCGAGATCTCAGCAAGAGAGCCCTTTGTTGGGCTCGAGTCGGGGTCTTGAGCCATACTTTTGGAATCGGGGAGTATGGGGGAGTTTTTTATTCTATGTTGGAGTTGATGGAAAGACGGAAGCAAAATGCAACTTTGAAAAAATGCGAAAGGGGGGAGACGGGGAGAATATCATATCGGAGTCGGAGAAGAGTTTAGGGTTTAGGGCCGAGCTTTGAGGGACTGGGGTGGGGAGAGGGTTAGAAGGACAGCCCAGCTCCGATGGTTTCAGACTCCTCAATCCTAAACCATCCTAAACCCTTATGGATGTATATATATATATATGTATATATATATATGTCTGCGCAGGTATAGAGCATTATACTAAAATATATTACATTTGTGTGACATGAATAGTGAAATAAGTTACGTGGAAGGTGAAATGTTTCATTTTTAGCGCTTAGGCCTGAATATTGCAACTTTCAGGGTGGGAGGTACTTTGTTTCGTTTCGGCATAAAGGGCTTAGAGGGGGTCCTTAAATGAATGTTTCATTTTTGACCCCCCCTACCGTAAGGCAGGGGTGATGCTGTAAAGTTGACACTGTCGTCATGCTTTTGCAAGGTTGTTGACACGGTAGGTCTATGTATGGGACATCAGACGAATCAAAAAACTACTACAAAGTTGCTTCACAATGTCTTTGGACTTTACACGCGTATCGTTGTGTATCGGATGTCATTCCAGGTCTTGCAAGCGTTTTTGAATCATCAGCTTCAGCTCGTGTCTTTCACTCGCGGCACTCGGGCAGGAGGGAGGGTGGAAGGGAGGAAGACGGCTGCAACAGATCGAGTGCAGAGTTCGCATTGCTTCGGCGGTGAAGGGACGGACCTAAGGAGGACGCCGAAGTGCCTACGGAGTCTGACGCCTCTGCTCTCCGCAGGCGAGGTGAAGAGTGATGGCAGTGGACTTGAGTTGGACGAAACCTTGAGAAAAGGGTTGACCGCATGTCGTCATGCGTGGAGTGGGCGTACCTCGCGAGGGGCAAATACCGCCGGCAAAATTCTTTGCTCGGTGATGGCTTTCTCGCGACTGGTACGGCGAAGGAGACTTGCGCACCTAGAACCTGAGCGGCTGCATGTCCTGTCCTGCTTGCGGCTTGATGCGGCTTGCATTGCAGCTTTTGCTTTCATGCAACTTCAAGGAGAAGCAGGCTTTGTTTGCCGATGTCAAGGCGGTGTACGTGACAGGCAGGCAGTCCATGACAGTGCCGTACAGTACAAGTGGGCACAGGTTCGATGCTTGGAAATGGCACGCGGAGCACTGGGATTGCTGGTGGATGACTTCCTCTACACCTATGACCCGGCAACTTTGCACGCAAAACTGATGCTTTTGGTGTGCATGTTTTGTTCTTCATTGGTGTCAACCTGCACCTGCTTCGTTGAATAGAGCAGCCCAGGAAGACACACTGCAAAGTCATCGGCGGCATGACAGCCTGGCAGCACTCCTGTACAAGGCCAGAAGCTTCATGCCTGCCGCGCATCTCAGAAAAAGGGCTGCTCACCTAGATGAGAATGGTTTTCAGACGTTGGAGTTGCAGGCCTTTTGGTCTCAAACGCTCCCGCTTCTGATGATCTTCACTGTCGTGCCCTGCGGTGTTTGCGTTTGTTCTGCTTGCAGAGCACTGCGAAAGAATCGCCAAATCTGGCTTGTGGGGTTCAGGTACACTTCGCGATGTACACATGTGTGCTTTCAGCAGTGACATCGTGCACTCTGGTGGTGTCTTTGATGACCTTCCCACATCCACATCCAAGGTTCTGGATGCTCTGGCTTAAAACTCAAGGATCATGCACTCCACAAGACCAAAGCAAGGATGCTGCTTAAGCTGATCTCATGTCTCGTAGTGCTCAGGAAGGGGCTCATCATGTTCAACCTCACCATCGTGCTGCTCAAGGCGGTGCATCAGTCTTAGAGTCCGAGCTAATTTCAGGCTTGGTGGGTCAGCATGGTGAGGGGGTGGTCTTGCGGGCGCGTTTTGGGTGGGGGTGGCAGACAAGCTCCTGGCGTCAGGATTGTTCTTGCGAAGGTCTTGACGACTTCGTGCCTAGCTTGGCACAGGTACTTTACCAGCTGCCGATCTTTCCCACGTCTTTCGATTACGTGCAGCTGAAGGCAGGACCACTTCGAGGTCTCCTGCTCCGTGGCACAATGAACAACTGCTGCCAGGCTGATATGCAAAGTGGATTCTTGAATGGAGTACCAGTGCCATGGGAATCAGTCCTGGGCCTCGAGAAGGCCTGCACAGCTTAGTCTGCAACATGCGGGTCGTCCGACACCACTCTTCTTGAAGCAAGAGGGTAAAACGACCTTCATCGCACCTGTCAGCGGACAAAGCGTGCAAAGGTGGCACCCGCTGGCCCACTGCCGGGCCACGACAACGAAGAGGCAAAGCAGTTAGTACCATTGACAGAAAAGCACTAAGCTTTACATCTACGCTGTGAGTCCTGCACGCCGCAGCTTTCAGACTCACAGGCGTTGGTGACAGATGCGGTTCGAGAGTTGGAGCAACGAGGATTGGTCGGCCATTCCTTGCTGGGCCTACTGTGGCTGGCTTGCAGCTTGCACGTCTGAGACAGTCCAGAGGGACCTGAAGACTTCAGACATCAAAAAATATCAAAGGCTGGAAATTCCATATGTGAGGTGGTCTGATCTGCTCGTGTGCCTCTTCCTTGTGGTGACCTGAGTGCGGGAACGAGGCAAGCGAGCCATGTTAAAGACGTCGAGGTCTGCCATTGGCACACGCTTCGTCACAGCGGCCGCTTGGGCAATCCTGCGCACATTTGTCGAAGGCTGCGATGGGCATGATCCATGATTGTTCCCGTTGTTTTTGAAGGGGCGTCGGTCACCGTTTGCAGGCTAGCTCTGGACGACATGCGAAGGAAGCACTCCGTTTGCACAAGCTGCCTCAGTTTCGGCATGCATAGCTGAGCCTGGCGGAATTCTGCCGGAATGAGGCAGCAGGATCCACCGACGCAGAAGTGTGAGCACAGCAGGCTGGATGCCCGAGAAATCATCGGTCACCTGCTTTCTCAGCATGTGGCTTCGTTGGACCTTGCTTCTCAGGCGGCATCTCACACTGCCATCGCCTTTTGGCCCGGCTTCGCCTGAACCTCAGGTTTTCGCAGCGAAACCCAGTAAGGATCTTTGCGTAACCTCGGGCTCTCCTCTTCTATCGGGTTGGAAAGGCGTGCACCACAGAAGCGCTTGACAACGACTGCCGCAGCTGCAGTGTTGGAGCCTTGTTCCCCTTGGTTCCCATTCGCATTGTCAGCACTGGATTGCTATGCCTATATTTGTACTTGGCCCACCTTGCAATGCGATCTAGGCAGGCTGTCACGGACACCCCGGCGGTGAGCAGCTTTGCAAAGGCTCGGTCGGCAAGTGTAGGCATGCTCACCGCGACAGCCGCTGTCTTCTAGTCAGCACTTAGTCCATTCTGAGCCTCGTGTCCTGTCGCTAGGCTCTGCACCGCGATGCGAGGTGGGGCTTTCCGCTTCATTTTTGGGGTTCTTCGACTGGTCTCTTGCAGGGACTGTATCGACTTTGCCGGGCTGCGAAAACCTGCCATGGACCTCTTCGCCCCGCGCGCTGGGTTGATGATGCCCGCTTCCAAGTGAAGCTCTCGTGACGACGTCTTCGGTCGGGCCGAGTACGACTGGGTGGGTGCAAGGTGTTGCTTCTGCATTGTCCTGATCAGCTGGAACAGCCTGATGGACAACAGGGAATCCTTCGCAGATTCCCTCTCCTCAAGCAGCTTCAGTGGCAAGCAGGCAGATTCGGAGAAAGAGACTAACACCTAAGCCATGAAGTCATAACAGACCATATTTGTTGTGTGGAGGTGATGGCCGTGGCTCTTTTCATCGGGCTCTTGGTGGAAGCGAGAGCAGAGTACACGTGGTACACGCAGCACCGATCCAAAGGTGCGCAGCTCAGAAAGCCGCGAAAGGCCGCTGAAAGCTCGCGTTGCCGCGCTGCGGTGAAACTCCATGAGACCGCAGATTTCGGACATGGCTGAGGCCCTGACGGCTGGCAGTTCCGAGCGAAGGCGCTTTCGCTCTCTCTCGGCGCTTAGTTTGTGCGGTTTGAAGTCCTGTGAGGCCCGAAATAGAAAGACTGTCTCAGGTGAATGTGACGTTACTGTACATGTTTAGGGAGCGTGTAGGAGGCAGTATACCAGCTTCTGCCCCACAACATCGCAGCGAAGCTGAACAAACCCAGGACAGAATTGGAGTTGCATCTACAAAGCTTTGCAAGGAGCAGCAGGAGAAGAATGGGTGCAGCTCCGAGACAGGAGGCCGTTGCCGTTTGCGTGCAATCACCCTTTCGTTTCTGCCATCAAAGCCTCGCTGAGGAACCCCGGTCCAGCTAAGCGAGGCGGCCGAAAGCGAGTAAACGGTGCATTGTAAACCTTTCGAGCTCACATCGTATCGTTGTGTCGCTCCTCGCCAGGAGCGTAATTTGCAGCCCACGATGAATCTCATCATGTACTTCGCCCAGAGGACCGGGCACATCAGCACACCTGTTTTGTCGCGAGCCTTAGAGGCTTGGTCGACAACACATCTGCACTTGCTAGACCTCAATGGCATTGCCCGCCAAAGCTAGAGAGGATAATCCTTTTGACGGAGCTGGTGGCGCTGCATGCCTTCTTCATCGTGCGGCTCATGACTGAGTTCGGACACACTGCAGAGGCAAAGGAGGCAGCCCTTTGTTTGCGAGGTGGTCCAGCAGCAACACCTACCAGCCGAGGACGCCAAAGCGACTGCAGAAAACTCCTGCTGCAGCCATGCACATCCAAACGACAACAGCTGCCCACCTTGCACAGTTATAACAAAAGCCAACGCGGTGAACAGTTGCTGTGCTGAGTTGCCTCCTACAGCGAAGCGCCGCTTCGCTCAAGAATCGGCTGCGATGATGATGATGATGATGATGATGATGATGCCGTCTTTCGCCACGCGATAGCTTCTACTAGTGCTTGGGCAGCGAGTCGGGGTGAGCGAGGCGTCTTGAGGTGGTGATGCTAAAAACAGAAAATTGGTTTGTCAAGGTATCTTGAAAAGCATCGCAATCCAAGACACTCAGAGACAAAGTCTAGACGTTTGCTTGCTGCCTCAGTTGAAGTGGACTGGTTGTGTTCTTCGATGTATCCAACACGTGGCCTGTGCGTGTCCTCGCGCAGGCAATCGAACAGTCGCGAAGATTTTCCCAGACTGCAACACTTCGAAGCCCAGAGTATAGACCTGGTACGGTAACTAATTCCACGTCTGCCAGAACAACAGCCAGCTTTGATCACCGGAAGGTGAAATCGATAAACCCTATGCTGCAAAAAATTCTCGGCTCTGCACTACTTCTGCACTCAACCAACCTCAACGAGCCGTGGAACAAGAGAAACAGCGGATAGATCCGAAAAAGGTTGAGCCCAAAGCTGAGAGAAATGTCGATACAGCCCAATCTCGAACTCACAAGCCTGGTCAGTGCAACAAGACTGAAGAAACATCATGTCTTTAACACACTGCACCTGCACTGCACCCCATCCTTTCCAAGAATTCAGTCGCCTTCAAGCGCCCTCCCGAAGAAATCATCTACGAATCCAAGGCTTCCTTCCGGAGCGAGGGTCAACCGGCACCCAAAGCGCGTCGCCGAACCGAGAAGCCTAGAGGCGTGGGCAACAAACATCTTTCCAATACCTAGACTGGCTAGCGCTTAAGCTGAAACGATCTTCATCAAGAAAATCGGGAACCGCCAGACACCCTAGGCAATCCGGACCCAAGGGGAGCATTGGTCTGAGCTCCAACAGACCCCAGAACAGGCCGCGAGAAATCATGGAGTCCCGACCTCAAAAGACTCGGAGCATTTCGGAACCCGACCCGAAAGCAAGAAACCACACGCAGTATGACCGTGTCAGTTCTGAAATTCGAGAGACACAAACGTTCGCTGCAAAATCTACTGAACCCTCACCGAATCCCGTGCAGGCCGCAAACCGCGAAGAACGCCAAATCCAGATCTGAAGACGTCCGGAGTATCCAAAACCATTCAATAGTGGAAGCAGAACTAGTGGTAGTAAGATTTAGGCTGAGAACTACGGTGATAGCACCTGCGCGAAGAAGAGAAGAATAAGCAAGAGTAGCAATAGCAAGCAGTGCTGTGAGGTACAGCGCTTGTGCCCTCGGAACATGTAAATGCGTCTTCGTCACAGCCTTGCATTGTTGTAAGCTATGCGTGTCACAGTTTCCGTTTGCTCGAGCCTTACACTGTGGCTCTGCTTGTGGTGCAAGAGTTATCGAAGCAGACCTAAATGACCTGCCGGGCTTTAATGCGAGCAGGATGACAAACTCCATCCAGGCGCGTCAGTTGCGCGAGAGGCACACCTTGGACGCAGTTGAGCCATGCTTGACAGATGCTGTTCTACGTCTTCTTCATGCTCTACTTGGCGCTCACCTCCTTGCAGCTCAGGCTTCTAGTGTTTGCAGCCGGGTCCGTGATGCATACTGTCAGCGTTTGAGACACAGACAGCATTGCGAGATCGGGTGCAAATGAGTCTGTTGGCTCGTTTGGCCCTGTGGCAGGTACGATGTTCATGTCACCAGCGGTGGGTTGGGCCTGACTCACAGCATGAACTTCTTCTACTCTGTGGCATTCAAGGCCTTTAAGCAGATCTTGCAATCATGTCATCAGGCAGTCGCTTAAGCACTTGTTGTGGAAGCTTGAGAGTCGATTTTAGGACGATGCGGCCCTTACAGGCGTATCTGGCGGTTCCCTTCGTGGAGGAGATGCGAGTGCTGACAGACTGGACTGTGACAAGGTTGGGACCTTCAATACTCTCGGCGGCACTCAGCGTCAGATCACCCTACCTGAGGACCTCCATGGACTTCTTCATGTGGATGAAGCTGGAGGTGCAGCGAGCCCAGCCATCTGCAGCCATCGCTTGTCGCGCGGTTCAACCCTAGGATGCGCAGCAGGGGCTTTACAGGACAGCCAGTCCAAGTTTCCATAGCGATGCTGATGATCATTGGCAGATTTGCAGGACAAAGCGAGATTTCCACATGCGTCGCTGGTATCCTCCTGCAGCAGCACGGCCAACATGGGAGAAGGCCAGAGACATGAAATGAGACGGGCAAGAAGCCGTCTGCTCTCACGAAGACTTGCCGTATCTTGCTGCTACTCGTGACCAGTCTGTACCAAGTGTCCAACTTGTTCTGCGTACGCCATGCAGGTTCTTCAAGGCGGATTGTTGCTCGTGGGCCTGGCTCTCCTCATTGCCGCTTCCCTGTGTAAAGCAGCTGCAGCAGATTAGATACTCACAAAACTCCACGGATTCCAGTTGTTTGCTCGAGCCCAAGAGGTGCTGCGTTACGTTTGAGAACAGAACGTTTGGAGTATGCACCGTCTTGCTATTGAGTCCATGTCTGACAGCGCAGCCTGTTACGGAGCTCAATTCGCATCTCAGGTCGGTCCGATTGCGCTGTTTTCTTCCTTGAACCCAAGCCTGCACTATGGCAGCAGGAATGATGTGGAATGATTGGGTTCAGGTTGGACATGGCTGCTAGGTCTCTTTATGACTGAGACTTGACGGTCTGTGCTTGAAGGGTCGCGGTTTGGGCTCGTGTTTGCTGAGGCAGTCCAACCGACTGACATCTGGGACTTTGACTGCAACTCTGCTGGTTCAGTCAAGCGACCAGGCCGAAGTCCAGAACCTCTATCATGGGATCAAGCCATCCACTCGATGCTGCGATGCTGTCCAGGGCATCAGAAAGTTGCATCTCTTTGAAGGCCAAGTCCAAGCACAATGCAAAAGACTTCGATGGTAGGTAGACGTGTGCGTGGGTGTGTGTGCGTGAGGAACCCAAAGCTCCATCACCACGGACGTGTGGCAGCATGGAGATTTGCCCTATCCTCGAAAGCAGGGAAAATGCACATGAGGCACATGCCACCCTGCAGCCTAATGCCGAACCCAGGTCTCGCATGGATACGTCCAATGCCAGAGCCCTGAGTGAATGATAGTCCATGCAGTTGTTGTCCTCTCCTGGCAGCTGCTGTAAGAAGGGTTCATGCAGAATGCACCAATTTTTATTGTCTTGTGACTTGGCTTGGTGCCAAGGTGACATGGGTGGAAGAATCCGAGCGGAGCTTCGACTCTACCGACCCATCCAGCCTGGCAGCTCGCATCACGGAAAGCCTTAGCAACCAAGCTGCATTGTAGCGTCCGGTCCATCAGCGGAGACACGCGATCGCAGAAGACTGGCTGTTGGGTGCTCCTCAGCGAGCAGGAAAGCCAAGGTGATCCCGATGTCACTGCTTGGATAGAAATAGAGTTGCTTGGCTCACTTTGTGCTTCTGGCTGTGTAGTGATGATGCTTCATTCAGTTGGCCAATGTTGGCCACATGGCAATGCCCGCGGCTTCTCCTCGGGTTGCCTTATCTCTTTCCTAAGGTATGTCTTGCTCTTCAATGGCGACACTGGTCAAAGCAAGAGGGCAGAACTTCCACCCAGAAGACCCTTGCATGCAATCTATTATGGCACGGAAATGGGCAAAGCATAGCTGGGTCTAGGGCACCCCGTGCCGCTTCGTTTGCTCAATCCGCTGTGCCGTGTGATTTCCGAAGCACCCGTTCTTTAGGAGTCAAGCTTAGCAAGAATGCGCCGGGCTCTCAGAACGATTGAAGAGTTGGGCAAAAGGAACTGTCTGCACACAGTGATCTCCAAGCCCAAAGGACGCTTCAGCTCGGCAGGCTCGTCAATGCTGCTTGGCTCACCGATTTTGGCACGGCTGTCTCGAGGGATGTTGGGAGGTGTTGGAACACAGCAGATGCAATATGATGCAATCAACAGGAAAGCCTGGACTTGTCCGACGTACAAGAGGACGGGCGAAGTTCAAGCAAATGTGTTGGCTCTTCAGCAGCGATCATAAAGTCACTTGCTTGAAACCCGTCCTTCGGCAGGATCCCATCTTCATTTCACAAGCAACATCCAAGACCTTGCGGGTGAATTCGAATTTGGAGGCATCGATGGTGACAGTTTGACGCCCGAGTTTTGGTTTTGCACAGATGCCAGGCGCAGTACACGGGTAGGGAGATGGACTTCCTGCTCACGTTCCGATCCAGCGAATTCGGCGTGCACCGGTGCCGGGGCTCAGCCGTTGAGCTACTGCAAGCTTGTCTTGAACACAGCAGGCGTTTCATGTCGTGCCATTACGCTCTGGCAGGCACTCCCATGGCCGAGATCGCGGCAGCCAACTTCGCGCAGCGACTTGACGCAGTTTGGTCTGAAGGCTTAAGACTGAGACGCGGTGCTGCGGGCAAGCCAAGGCGCCTGTGCGCGGAGTTTGGTTGCTGTCAAAATCTTCCCCAGAATGCTGGGCGAAGCAGGCACCGACACCGAAAGATGCAAGCAGTCGAAGTGAGCTTCCGAGCTTCCTGGAGCTGTGAGGCTGGATCCTCGGACAGCGAAGGCAGGAAACTGGTAGGAAAATGCAGAAACCCAACATTGCAAAACGTGACCACAGCAACGTTTGCAGGCAGAGGCCTGGCGAGAGTGGACTGCCGGATATCACAGTTCGTCTCCGCGGCAAGTTTGAACCTTCGTCTTGGCGATGGCCAGACGAATCTTGTGCAGAACCAGCCTTATCGGCCGAACTGCGCGGCTTAGCAAGCCTGAAAATGCCAGGTAGCCAGCGAGAAAAGTGCTCCCGCACCCATGGGCTACTCCGGTTCTTGGGGTGTGATGGGCATCTACCTGGGCCGGGCCTCTCAGAATCACAGATTACAGATTCGCAGGAATGCAAAAGGCATTGTGGAGAGAGCACTACACCATCTACACCTGAGGGTAATTAAGAAAACCAGCCGCATCGTGGGGCTCCCACAAGCCGCACCTAGCCTTTACAACAAGTGTTGGATGGTGCCCTCGCCGTGTGGCTGCCTGAGGGGTGGGTTGACGAACGCCCAAGGTTCTGTTTCTTGGAGTGGAGGCTCATGAGTCGACCCATGTGGATGCCACAGCTCATGGGCGCACAGGAGCATGGGGAAGGGGGCAACCCGTTTAATTGAACATGAAGAAAAGGACGAAGAGAAAGAGCGTGAGAGGGGGAGAGGGAGACTGAGGTGTGGTGTATGCAGTTGGCCGATTCCTTCGCCTCGTGTTCCAGGTGCCGTCGGCAGTATTTTGTGCTTTCAGTGCTGTCGCTGGGATGATTTTACCGTGAGTCGAGGTGGGCTACGACATTGCTGAAAAATTGAGTGCGGTGACTGAAAGTAACTGAGTAGAATGCCTAGCCGTGAAAAACCAACAGTGTTGACGACATCTCCACAAGTGGGCTCATTGCCGGAGCTGTGCCTGCAACAACAACAACAACAACCGCCAAAGACGGCGCGAATGCTAGACAACAGCAGTGCAGCTTCTCTCACTACTGGCAGGCCAAATCATTACCATTCATCATCATTCATTACCGGTACCCGGGCTGACCAGCAGTATCCGGAAGTTATGTGCAGTGCTGCTGGTGCTGGTGTTGGTAGGCCAGTATGGGCCTGTTGCAAGTGTTCTGCTGCCAGGATTCATCCAAGCGGGCTATTTACGAGGCTTGGAACCGTCTTTGCTTCTTGAACCTGAGCAGCCTCAGCCAAAATGTAGGAGCTTCCTGACGTCCAGCTCTTGCAGGACGTTTGCCCGCATGCCAGATTGAGCTTTGTGGCTCCATCGTATCAGGACTTGTGCAACGGAATTTACATAGCCCGCATCCAGCACCTGCTCAAGACAGAGTTCAAGCTGTACTATCAGGCAGGAGGAAGGTTGGCGAGCAGCAAACGCAACCTGCTAGCGAAAAGTTTGGCCCTGCTCAGCTGATGAACCTCTTCCGCAGCCCGGAACTACTGCTTACCGTCACGGGTACTTTCGGAGCGCAGAAGATCGACGGCGAGGTGGAGCGGCGCAGCCTATGTCTGCAGTTGATGCTTGCTCGATGCTGCTCGCGAGCAGATGGATTTTCTGGCTGAGCTGGACGATGGCCATCTCGGCTTCGACAGCGCAGGTGGCCCGTTTCTGAAGGTAAATGGTTGCTAAGACAGGAAATCTGCGGAACGGTGCTGGAGTGGTGACGTTTAGTACACAAAGCCACGTGCTGTTCGATGATGTAGCTTTACAGAAGCAGTCTGCTTTGTCATGTCAGCGTGTTTTGCTTGTGCACCTGTCCAGGTACGAGGGTGCAATCTGACCCACGGCTGAAATCGCCAGAAGCATTTGGGTCTCCAGGCACGGCGACCATCAACCCGATTCCAGGGTCCTCGCAGGGAACACAAGAGACTGGCGTGATGCCGCAAGCTTCAGAGAACACCAACGTCGATGACGATTTGAGGCCGGGGGATGTTTCGTCGTCGTTTATACCTCGTGGCAGCAGCCAGCATGTTGCCCAGACATTGTTGCGTATACGTGGAAGTCCCTGGACAGGCAGATTCAAGAGCTTCAAGAGGAACTTGATCACCACTTCGGAGATGTGCCCATGCCAAGCGTTGGCAGGCCGGCCCAAAAGTCCAAAAAGCTTAAGATGCTGAAGCGTCGCCAGAGGGTGGAATTGATTTGCCGCGAGGTTCGCCGGAGTTGCTGAATCCGAGATGCCACTCGGTGATGTCACCGTCGCCACAGAGCTGCGAGGAGCCCTTGTGAACCATCGTTGAAGTTACGAAGGGATCTGTGGATTCATTGCGGATGCCGAAGGAGGGGAGAACCCAATCCCGACCTCCCCGACAAGCGAACTTCGGCGCAGGCATTTACAGGCAGAAACGAGTTACGGCTAGGAAGGGAGTTCCAATAGGGGGAAAGAAATAAGATGAGCCAAGTCCGCCAGGCGGCCGCGTCTAGCGGCAATGCGGGAATTAGCACCAGCAGCCGCTTGGAGATGTAGTCAAATTGCATCCCCCCATGCTGCTCGTTTTATGCAAGAGTGGTTGCAGCAACTTTTCCAAGAGTTCGGTCGAGAGGGCTGGCGTTGTCTGCTCCACAGCCCCAGTACCATCCCAAAAGAGGCTGGCTGATCAGTGCTGATCATATAAACATTATTAGAGAGCCGCTTTGTCACAGTGTGCCGACGATTTACACTGAGAGCAGTAACACATACATGTCCTGGCCAAGCGGATCTTGTGCATGCAGTGATGTACAGTCCTCACACATCCTCGCAAAGCAAAGTGGCTTTGCGGTTGTGGCCTACGGGCCAACCTGCTCCAAGGGCTCTGTATCGTGCTCTCTCTGGGCGCAGATCAGTTGCTCGAGCGGCCGTATTTGTGGTCAATACAACACAATCTCGCGGACAGACGTGCGATGAATTGCGATGATGCCCTGTCAAGTGCTCCTAAATGGAGGTGCCTGGCTGAAAGCGCTTTGAAGAATCCGGCATCTACGGCCAACAAGCGAAGGGACGCGCTGGGCAAGAGACCATCGACGTTGTTGACTCCATTGTCTAATGTCTCGGTTTCGCTTCTCGCCGTTTCACGTGTCTGGGCTTCGAGCAACAAGCTGTCATGCTTCATTGACCTGGGCAGGGAGAGCAGTCATCAGCTTGGACTCACGTCACTTCCGATCCACAACGCCGACCGTTTCCCTTTTCTCGTCACCCATGACGTTCCAGAGCCCAGCAAGACTCACACAGACAGGCTGCCTGCCCAAGCTTTGCACGTTCCCCCTGAGCCCACACGCGGCGCCCCGGGCAAGGCACGCAAGGCCTATGGACTGCGTAACTTCCGGAAGCCTCACCTCTGACTCACGAGGTCTCATGGCTCCTGCTAGCGAACAGGCGCGAAGAAAGCAGCTGCTGGCAAGCGATGAATTTGTGTCACTGTTATCAGGAAATGCAGAAGGAGTTGGATAAGTTCAAGGAGCTTCAACTGTCAGCGCAAATAACGGATGTGTGTTCGGAATCTGCGCTTCAGAAACTGCCCAGGGCATGCAGGAAGGTCTGCAGAAAGACTACGAAGCTCGGATGGGCCTCATTGCTCAGCAGCAGGACGGTCTCAATGCTTGACGGAATCTGCTTCAAGTGATTCAAGCGCCATCTTTCGTCAGCCGACAAGGAGACCGAGCTAGTGAAGCAGGAGTTTGACTCCATCGAGGCTGAGAGTGCCCCGTGTGCTCTTCGTAGAGATGTCAGTGCCTGCTCGGCCTGGTGCTCAGGAAGATGCAGTCGTCTATAAGCTGGTTGGCCCCGACGCCCGACCGAATTCCAGATACTGGAAGCGCAGTGCTGTTAGCAAAGCACAGAGCACAAGACCGTGCGGATTCAAAGGTGATGGTCAAGCAGAATGTCGACGATGCCAAGGCCAGCCAACATGGCAGGACACAAGCAAAAGACTCTGTGTTGTTCAAGCTTTTGAGTCCTTTCATGTAGAGCCTTGAAGGCCAATGTCGCCAAGCGTTTGGAGTACATCTCCGGCGAGCTGGACAGGTTCGCTTCTCCGGGGCTCCTCAGTTTCCTGCTGCTCCTGGGAGGCGCACTTGCGCACCGTGCTTATGCAATCGGACAGCATGCTGAGGTCGAACAAAATCATCGGTGAAAAGGAAAAGGAGTTGGGCGACAAACAAAAGCAGCTGATAAAGTCGGCTGCTGAGGCTTCAAACCGGCTTTAGTGATATTTCGGCTTGCAGCAAATGTTGGCGATCGTTGGCACTTGCCGAGGATGCAGCAAGAGGTGCAGCCGTCGGCATAAGATTCGAGAAACAATATGGATGAAAACAGCAGCCGCCCAGAATTAGCAGCTCGTTAGCTTCTGTGCTTTTGCACCTTTCGGTTCCTTGGAGTGCATGCCCATCATATGCCAATCGAGTTTTGCAATGTGCTTCCACTCTCTCAGCGCTTGCAGCTGCCGGGTATTGCCGGCGCAAAAGGGCATCAGGCGCCTCCTGCCCGCCTCCAGGCCGCGCCCGCCCCCAGCCTCCCGCTCCGGCGTTGCTTTCGTCCCACCCGCTTCTCAAGTAGTCAAACGCCGACGGACAGAGCTTTGGAACCTGGCTGACACAACACGGCAGATCTGCCACTTTGCACAGAGCTGCCAGCTCGGCTCAAACATGTGCCAGTTGAGTGCTCCGTTCCTCGTGTTCTGCCAGATACATTCTCTGGTCCATGCTTATCGAGCAACCCTGCCAGATGCAAGTGTTCGCAGCGGTGTTCCTCATGGTTGTGACTTCGAGGCTGAGACGATGCTAGCTCTGCATCAAGAGTCTGCATGAGGGTCTTGGTTGATGTGTAGTATCAAACGTGACCTCTGAGAAGGTTCTTTACACACGGACTGCACGCGCGGTACTCATGCTGGCCAGATGGTGCTAACATGCAAACTCGGAAACCACGGGCGGGACAAGAAAACGGAGCTGGACTAGGTCAAAGGGAACAGGAGCATGCGGCAACATGAAACAAGGCAAACAGGTCGGACCCCAAACTAAGAACGTCTTGTAATGTCTTGTATAATGAACCCTCATCCTGAGAACTATGCACAGAGGCTCCAAAAAGACCAAACTGTTTGGATGCCCCAAGGCCTTGCTGGGGGTGTCCTTTTGAGGCGCACCAGCGAGGGAAAAAAGGGGGTGCTTAAACTAGGGGCTCCGCCAGCCTACTCAAGTCTCATGTGTTCATTGTTGGGGCTGATGTTGCAAAGAGAAAACTGGCGCAAGCCGCCAGGAAGCGCAAGTGATCCTGCCAGTAAGACCATTCAATAACTTAAATAACAGCAAATAGAACAGCCGCCTCAAACTTATGATGCTTCATGCTCGAGTTTTTGCCCTCAAGCCGACTGAAGACAAGCGGAACGCGGGGCATGTCTACAATTCACGAAACCGGGGGTTCTCCAACAGGAACTCCAATGTCACGAGCTTCCAGCGAGGCGGAACAAGAGGTCAAGTAGGGGGGCTTTTGAGGGCTGCCAGGGGCCGCCCCCAGTGCTAGGTGAAAGGATGTTTGGCTTGAAGCTGCCCAAGAGGCCCCTGCCAGAAGCCAAAAGCATATCACTCAAGAGCGTTTTCCTACAGAGCCCACGTGCAAATGTACCGTTCAGGAATAGCAACGCAAGGTGTGACAATCATGCCTCTTACCGTGGTTTTTCCCGGCTAGGGCAGCACCAGCACAGCACTGGGTGGATCAGACATCGAAGCTACTCTGGTACAGTACGTCTGGCTGACCGCTAGTGGCGGATACTTAAGCCGATATTGTGCTCTTGCTGACATGCCTGCCACACTAGCATACTGGTATACATGCTGTGAATGCGCACTGAGCCGTCTCGGCGGCTGGGAGGCTTGTGAAAAGTGCCAGCATCTCTAGAGCCAGCAAAGAGAGCAGAATGTTTCAGATGTCAGGCAAGAGCTAATCGCAACCCTGCAATGCTCAACACTCCAAGCATTTCGACATTCCGAACCCGTTTCAAACTGTCCGCGTGCTCCCGCGTGGAATCTCGCGACGCTGAGGAGTGACCCCAACCACTTTGCTGTGAGCTCTGCGGGCTTCCTGGCGCCGGACTTCAACTTCTTCGACTCGCGCGAGTTTTTCCTGTCCGCGGACTCCTCCTGCAGCGAGAAGCTCCTGGATGCTAGGCGGCAGCCAGTCGCAAATCACAGGAGGCGCATGTTGTGCGGGTTTTTGGAGGGAAGCCTTACGACCCCAGGGCCATTTTTCTGGTCAAGGGATCTTTAACCACTCTTTAACCTCTTGATCCGCAGCGCAATCCAGCTTCTAGACCACGCAGTCTTAATAATTACGCCTGGCCAGCAGCAAAAACCAGAGCCTTCCGGATCATCATTCATTATCAATCCCTGCATGTCTTCCTTTCTGTGCGTGTAGGTTAGCGGGCAGGCTGGTCAGCAAGATGTAGATTGGGACGTAGGTGAGCTCAACCCCCGGGGAATGATAGTAAGGTCGACCTGGAGCAGGCCCCCAACTCCTCAGAGGCCAAGCATTTGCAGCATGACCGTCGCTTCAAGGTGAAGCAAATCAAGGAAGCTCGGACTTCAGTTTATGCTCAGGGTGGCTGCCTATTACGGTAGGCCCACAGAATCCTGCTTGACCTCCTGCCGTCCAATCTGTGTCATTTCAGTGCAACGGGGCATTTTTATGCGAGTTACAGCAGCACAGCAAGTTTTTCTTGCACAGCTTTTTGATTGGCCTGCATTGGCTTGAGTCGAGAGCTTAACCAGGTGTGTAGAGTCGAAACTTTCCCACATAGTCAACAATGTGATAGATCACTCCATCTGCCGCTAGACGCCCGCTTGGATCAGCAGAAGCATTTCAGGAAACTGGAAGAGCAATGATGGAAGGATCACAGAGAGTGGAAGTGGAAGCGGCCATGCGAGCAGCAGCATCAGTAATCCTAACCTGGTGCATCTTCCCAGCAAAACCTTGCGTTCAAATTCTACCTCTATCCTCGATCATGGGCCGATGCCGTCAGAAGTTGTACATCTTCCGACTGTAGAGTGCTTCTGCGGGATCACAGAATTCTTGTCAGGCCTGTAGCCTCTCTATAGTTGTTTTGAAGGTCAGAGGCCACCGAACAACGCATGACCTGAGCAGCTACTAATGTACCGACAGGTTTCGCATGGTCAGCCCTTTTGGCTGTTTCTGGGGCCGGGGGTGTTTTTCCCCATACTTGTTTCTCAGCTATCTCTGAGGAGGGTCTCGGCGCTGCAAAGAAGCAAGAGGTTGGACATTTTCGAGAGGCTCTCCATCAGCAACCCCGTTCCGAACTGCAGGACATACCTGCCGTAGAACTCCACATGCTTCCTGAGAAGCCGATGGATCCAGCATCCCAGTGGATGGTGTTGCTAGTGCCCCGGGCGCAGAAGCTCTTTGACCGGACCGTGTACCTCTGCCGGCCAACGCCACGGCCATGTGTGGCCAAAGTCACCTTTCCACCTTTGCCGCCTCGCTTGATGAATTTATTTGGCCGTTGGGACCCCACGCTCGATCCTTTGAGGTCCATGCCGCACCACCTCGTTGTTGGCTTGGAGGTCTTGCTAGTGGCCAGCATTCTAGCTATGAGTCTCAAAGCAGCCATTCCTTTGGCCCACCTGGCACGCAGCGTGTGGAACTGCTCCAGTTCCAGTGAGGGGTCTGATGCCTTAGCTTCCCACGTGCTGCTGGAGGAGTCCCTGCCCAAGACGTACAAGCTGCTGCGCCACGCAGAAGTCCACAAGGGCGCCGATGATTGCCCGCTAGACTGCAAGCCGCTGGATGCCGGTTTTGAGGTGACGGTGCTGGAGATGAAGGTGGTTGACGGCGACACTGGAGACAACATTGCATGGAGCGCTTTCGGCCTTGTCAGGCGTGCCTGGGCAAGGCTTTTTGGCGCTCCATCCACTTCGCACGCAGTCTGGGGTCGGATACAAGATCCTGTTGGCTGGATCTTGCTCCACGATGGCACTTGGAAGATTTGGGGTGCGGACGGCCAGGACGTGAAGGCGCCGTACCGAGCCCATCCGTTGCTCCTAGTGCCCTTAGGCGCACTGCTCCCCAGGCAGCTTGTCCTTGCAGCAAGCCATGCCTCTGTGCAGTGGCTCTTGCTTGAAAACCTCGCAAGCCTTCTGCCAGTACAACTCTTCGCCGGAGTTTCGCTGAGCTTCTGCGCCCTTCACTTGGCTGTGCTGCTTCAGGCAAAAGTGACTGTGAAATGGGGTGTTCGGTATGATGAGGTCTTGGAGCGCAGTAGGCAGCGCCTGCACCCTGTGGACCAAACGCACGCCACGCGCTGCTTCGCGCTGATCCTGCTGGTCATGATGTCTGCCTTGCTACCAGCAGTGTCCATGTCAGCATCCTTCGTGACTCCGTTTTTTGCTTTGATTTCTGCGGTGTTTCTGCATGCCTGGGACTTGAGCACATCCCTGAACGGCCTCAGCAAATGGAGAGAGCCACAGCTTGCCTGCGAGTTTACGGAGTTCCCATCGGAGAAACTTCCTAGCTGCGAGACTGTGCCACAAATGCTGCGGAAAGAGCGGGTGCCTGAGCAGCCTATGGCCCCTTACCTCCCCCTAAGAAGTCTTGAAGCCACCGGAACCGGAACCAAGCTAAACGTCCTAAGTCTCCAGGACTACTTGAAGCAACCAGAAACCTCTTTCAGGAAAGCCACTATCTCGTCGCCAGCTCCTTGACCTGGTTCGTTGCAACGGTCGCTGTGGGCGTGCTCTCCTTGATGGGCTTGGATGCCTTGCATATGAGAGGCTTTGGAGCTGGTTCTGGGATTGGAGAAGTGGACAATGGGCATAGACGTGGGCATGGTGTAGAGATGCGTGGGGTCATTCACCACTCAACCGAATCCTGTGCGAAAACCTAGAACTAAATCCATGGTACTGCAGCGACAAAGAGGCTGCCCTGAACACACACCCCTTTGTACGAACCCGAAGGCGCATTGGTGGACTATTCCTTCAGCAAGGGCTATCTTACTGGCATCGCAGGTGTCGCAACACTGGAGAATACCCTCTTGCTGCATGACGCGGCAGACTCCATCACCTTTGTGTATGAAGGTAGCCAGCACACCAGAAGCATATCCCTCAAGCTTGAACATCCGCAGCTGGACGGGCAAGATACGGAGGAGGTGACGTTGTTGCTGGCCTAATCAAGAAGGGTGTTGGTAATGTGTTACGCCTCCTTGAATGTAGGTACCCCATCAGCAGAAAGGAAGACAAGAAAATGAGGAGGCTCCCTTTTCAGGGGGGCTCGGACTGAGGGGCCTGGATAGTAGAGTGAAAAGGAAGTTGAGAAGTTCCTGGCTTTTTTTCTGGGATCCCCCGAATCAACACGGATTCTTTCGGGTACTTCCAACATTGCTTGGAGCACGGTTACGGCCGGACGAGAACACAGAATTTCTGGGTTGCTACTTTACAGGTGGTGCAACCTCAATGATCAAATCACAGGTCGATCCTTTGTCAGAAAGCCCTGCAAACTCAGGTTTTCATATGACGGTGAAGGTGGCGGGCACAAGGATCCAGCCAGCACACCAGCTGCTGGAAAGTTCGAGGTAAAACTGCCTACTGGACCGCTTTACAGCCGGATCACTGTTGAGGCTGCTAGCCATCTGAGGATTAGCCCCACAAGGCAGGAAGTCACTTCGAGGGTGCCATCTTTTGGTCATGAGAGGAGAGGTGTGGTTGAGATGTCAGTTTGCACACATTGCCTGTGAACTCTTGCGTGCAAGCGCAGGTACAGCTTCCACATTGTTCGGGTGGGGGAGGCGCTCTCGCTGTCACTCAGTGGCAAGGTTTCTACTGCAAATGCTAGTGTTGTTGACTTCAGCGAGAAGCGCCGATGGTTGTACCAGAAGGCACACCCGGACTGGTTTGTTCCTGAGCTCATAAACGGCACCATGGCCAGCTTGGAAATGACACTCCAGCCGGTCGCCTTTGCACCATTGCGGAAGGCTGAATCTCAAACTTCGGAACCCATGCCCGGACTCGCGCGAGACTCCATCATACGTTTTGCCGAGACTTGCCACTGCGGTCGTGAGAAAGCCGGGTTCGGCTCAGAATGCTCCTGGAAGCAGCTGGTGAAGTTTAGCTCCGGGTCCTTGTGCTTTTTTCTGCATGACAATGAGCTGAACACACCGACAACACTGCGAATTGATGGGAGCCAAGCTGGCCTTGCCGGCCCAGGCGGCCGCAGTTTGGTGGCGTGGCTCCAAGATGTCAGCGTCAGTGGGAAGTCGGCACGCCTTGAGCTATCGACGCTCGAGGCTGCTGGGCGTGGCGCAGGCAAGCCGGTGTGGACACTGTCAGCTGGAAACGGGGCCCGAAACGAGATTTGGAACGTCTTCAACGTCTCGATTCCTGTTGAAGAGCTCTTCGAAACCATCCAGCTTGCAGTGGGCACAACGCAAGACCAGACTGATGCTGAGGAGCAGGCTTTGCCCCTCAGGATAGTGCCACACGCGCCCCCTCCGGTCTTGAGCACAGACAAAGGCATCCTCCTCCCAAGCGTCTCCATTAGCAATCAGCGCAGCGAGTACAAGGCATGCGAGATGCCGGACCTCGATTCGGTGCATGCGGCAGTGCTGGACGACCGCTTCAGAGTGGAGGCCACGGGGCTTCCGGTGTTTAGAAGGGACGGTTTTGAGCTTACATGCATTTGCAGGGCTTCTTCTGTTGAGACAGCTGAAACACCAGTACTGCCGGAACATTTGCGCACATGCTTAGACACCTGCGCGAGGATCATTTGGTTGACATGGGCGTTGACTGCTTTAAGCGGAACGTGTTGCAGAAGCGATTCCGTGTGGTTCGCAACCAGAGCTGCGACTACTGCGATTGTTACCAAGCTTGGAGTGACTCTTATGACATTGCAGTTACCACATCTCCTCAGCAATGCCTCCTTGAAGCGATTCGGGTGGGTGACAGAAATGCGTCGGCCAGAATCAGCAAGTCCATCTCGCCAAGATTAGCAAGAATACATAGAAGAAGTGGGAGTACTTGTGGCATTGTGCAGACAGCGGTGCGGCTGGGCCAAGTGCGCATGATCCCGTACCTTCTCAAAAAATGGGGCCCAAACTGCCGAAACTGCCCTGAGACTCCTCTCGGAGTTGCAGCAACAGAAGGCAACATCGAGGCCATGAATTTGCTCCTGGGGCATCCCAAAATCAAGGTGACAGAAACAGATGCGGCCAATGCCACCGCGCTCTTCCGTGCGAGTCAGCGTTGCCACACAGCGGCCGTTGAGAAGCTCGTCGAAAAAAGCGACGTGAACCAGCTGATTCTTGCCAGAGGAGATGGGTGCCTCGACTGAGAGAGTTCAGAGGCATGAGATCGCAACACAGGGAGCCTTTGTTCTGTAGAAGCCCTTGCTTTTCAGGTGCCCCGTCACGGCTTTGTTGGGGCTCTTTGGCCCAGAAGGTGTTGGCGTGGAGGCTGATACCGCAAGGGCTCCGTGCGACCTCCGTGAGCTTTTGCGGATTTTGCGCAAGCACAACGCCAGCTTCTCAGTTCCGGTCCCTCGGCCTCACTTATGGGCAAAGACATGTTCTGAGAAGCATGATAATCCAATGCTATAGAGCCTTCTGAAGATGTCCAAACGCGCTTGTTTCTCGCAAAGCCTTCGGGAACATACCAAGCCGTCCCTTCAAGAGCCCCGATGAGGTGCCAGGTGCCGCCGGCGCAAATTTCGTTCGCGGAAGCTCTCCAGGTGCTGCTTCGGGCCCCCGCGCTTGCAAGCCACGGACTGCTCTTGTCGAGGTCGCACGCCCCGGCGAGAGTGTTGGATTTGGGGGCTCTTCTGGGTGCTTTGTGGGGCTTTTCTGGGGGCTTGTCGGGCCTTTGGCTTGGGCTTGGAATCCAAGCTGAACAGACTTTGAATCCCCAACAGCACAAGATGCCCAAGACAACGATTTATGATTTGAGGAGGTTCCCTAAAGCCCGTGGATTTATAGTCTGTGAGACGTGTGGATGAGGCAATAAGCAGCCGCAGCAAGCGCTTGGCAGCAGTGCCGCTCCTGCTCGGGTTGGGGGCCGACCCCAATCAGAAAGGCTCGTCCCAGCTAGTTTGGCAAAATCATGGTCTAAGCACAACTGCAGCCTTGCGGCGGAGGTTCAGCAGAGGTTGTAGCCAGAACATGCCAGAACTGTTTTGAAGGATGTTTTCGAGACTTCGCCCTGCCCTCCTTGATAAATTATCCTGCACGGGCTTTCAGACATGCACAAGCACGTGGGGTGCTAGCAGGCCTAACTGGATCTGGTCATTTGCATCCTCCGCTGTTGGCGCTTGTCTACATGTGCCTTGCCGGCGGAGAGGTGTCTACTGCTGTGCTTAGCAGCCGACTGCCGTTGGGCGCATGAGACAATGCGAAGACCCCAACACCGCGTAAGCCTGCTCAGACCTTTTCAGTACTCAGAATGTGGTCATCGGTTGCTGGCCTCGCCACAGTTGACTTTTGCTTCCGCATGTTCTAGAGGCTGGATTTCTGCCAGAGCACCTTCTAAGTGCCCTTGTCACAGGACATGCCCCGTTCTGCCATGCCTGTTTAGTATCACTTAGCGAGACAAGACCTCGTCATCCTTCTGGTCCGAACAGTGCCGAAAAGGCGTCAGCCCAGAAATGGCAAGCTTGGTTGAACAAATCCCCGGCGAAGAGTGTAGTGATAAGCCTGGCGCTCTAGTGCGCTAGCTCGAGTTTATGTTCCAGTTCGTGTCCCAAGGTTCCTGCACAGCAAGAGCCTGAGCTGGGAGGCTTTCGCCACAGCAGCACGCGTTCTGCTGCAGCATGGTGCCGACGTGAATGGCACCGACGACGAGGGCTTCACTGCACTGATGGAGGACGGAAGTGGGGTTTTCGGAGCAGCAGCAGTTTGCAAGGGAAGAGCTATATAGAGGCAATGAGTGACAGTGGCATTAGGTCGGTCCGGGGAAAATGCTGTTAGCGTTAAGCTTTCTCCTTGAAGGCCGCCTTGGAATGCCACTCAGAAACGGTGGCACTTCTGCTACAGCACGGTGCCAACCCGGCCATCCAGGAGATGGCTCCTACAAATTCACATAGAATATAGAGATTGCAGCGGGGCCTCGTGCGTTCATAAAGTAGGGGTAGGCTCCCGACAGGATCACAGGCGCAAAACCGCCAAGCACTACGCGAACTCTGAGTACAGCGAAAAGTGCCGCGAGAACAGCACAGCGCTGAATGAAACGCATCGACTCCTTGGGCAGACCGTATCTCGGATAGAGGAGGAAGCCTGAGGAACAAGGGTAAGCTTCTGCACTGCTTGCTCTGATAGCTTGCGCGATAGTCAAAACAGCCTGGGGAACTAACATTTGCGGGCAAGACTTTGTGTGCTCGGAGGTGTCCTTTCCTTTCCTGTTTGCATGCTGCGCGCTCATCTCTCGCTTTGTTGCTTGGCCGCGGCTCAGAGGCAGAATCGTCCTGAAGATTCGATGTCCTGCCAAGCTCGTTGTTTGATAATTCTTTGCCTGCACCTCTTGGCTTCGGCCGCACGGCCAGTGGAGGCTTCAAGAGACGATCTTACGGACCGCTGCAAGCGGCATGGGGCCGAACCGGCAGGAGAGGCCTGCCAATGTCGGACGGCAGGGATTTTCAGCAAGCTGAGCAAGCGGCTGGGAAGCGTCATGCTGACAAACCATCACTGCCGCGTCGTCGGGGTAGAAAAGTTTTCCGCAGACGCACAGGATGGGAAGTGCAAGTGCGTCCCGGACCCGTGCACAGCGCTCAATGCAGAGCTTGTAGATCGTAGCAGTGGAGAATGCAGATGCTGGTGGCGCAAGAAAGGCATTGCCGCCGCGCTGGAGGCACACTTCAACGGTTTGGCAGGTCAAGCGGCCTATGGCGCGAACAACCAATGCTCCACGTCTCTCGGGTCGCGGACGATCTTTCTCAACACCACCAAAGCAGGGTGCAGCTGCGCCAGGAAGCACAGGCTCGCGGATTCGCGAAGGGCACTGCCCGTGGACATCGCAGCAGTGGACTTCTGCCGAGCGGCAGCGGACCATGTCAGGGACATCTTCTGGAAAAAGGCCAAAGGGAAAGGCGAGAAAAAGATGTCTACGTTTGCGAAGATCATGGCCAGACCGGGGGGGTTTTCGCAGAGATTTTCGCGGGAGGCCATGAGCAACGCAACGGAGATTTGCGAGCGGGTCCTTACCGGTGATTTCAATGCTGTCAATGCTTCCCAACAAAGTGAGGAACTGCTTTGGGCTGCAAAGGCTGGAAACCTGTCCGAGCACGAGAATGCTGAAGGTCTCGGCCGCCTAGATGCTTTGGTGCGGAACATGTCTAACCAGTCGGAGAAAGCTCGCTACAAGTCTCATTTGGAGAAGGTTTGCCGGGACGAATGCATAAGCATCGTTGAGGCGACTGTGAAGAACATGGGGCAAATCGACATGGATCGTAACCGAGGCATCACTTGGCTGCATGCATGTTCGGAGCGCGTGGTCAAGAAAGTTGAGGGCGAGATGCTCGGCTGCTGCGGCCGAGCTTGTGGCTGGAACAAAAACCAGTCTTCGTGCACCAATTGGCCCTTCCTTTCTGTTGACCGCCGGGTACGATGGCAAAAACAATGCTGCAGCGAGTACAACGTACTCAATGGTTCCGCGCGGCAGAAGATGTGCAACTCTGTGCTGACCCCTGAGCAAGCATCCCTGGTGTCCCAGCATGACAGACCAGAGCCAAAAGGCAATGACACAGGCGCCGTGCTCGTTGGGCAGGACCCTCCCCTTTTCTGGACAGAGAAGGGCACCCAGTCGGAAGTCGGGCAGGAGTTTGCCGATGAGGCAGTAGCAAACGAGTCCGTGTCGCAGGATGTCCTTCTGCTGTACCCGGGTATCCGCAGCGAAGGCCTCAAAAAAGGGTGGTTCATTGAAGAGGAAAACCGTCCCAACAGCTGGTGGCACTGGCTGAATCCATGGACCTGGACAAGCCGTAAAAGTTCCGGACGCTCCCTCATGGCAAAGATAGAGGAGCCTGCAGATCAGTTCACGGGGGAGGAGGATTCGGAAGAAGATTGGTACGAGGATGACCAGTGTTTGACAACGCCGGATCAGTCGCAGGATTGCTCAGAAGAAGACCTCCAAGATCATTTGGAGGGATGTGACGAGAAGAACCGGTGGCAGCCATCAAGGCAGTCTGGCCCATGTACGCTGTCTGATGCCGTAAAGGTTCAGACGTCGCAGGATTGCGCTAGCCTTCCGGCCACAAGTTGGAAACTCGATGCGGAATCCGGAAGGGAGCTTGATCGTTACTTCAAGTTTGCGAGGGGGGAACCCCTCAAGTGCTACATTGCACACGAACAGCATGCGACTCCATGCAGCTTTACAGAAGTGACCGACTATAAAGTCGAGATGGTCTGGTACGTGCTGATCAGGGATTCGGCTACCAGCACCAGCCCTTGAGGCGCTCAGCCTTCCACCCTGTAAAGGCAGCTTACTCTCATCCGCGGCTTTGATAGTGTTTGTAATGTCGTAGTATGAGCCGATAATTCGAGTAGATGGAGATGCCAATCACCAGCCGGCCACTTGAGTGCCCGGAACGACATTGTCACGATCCGTGCTGGTGAGCTGTCGCAGAAAAGGTGGCTCTCCATGTTCATGACCTGCTTGAAGCAAGCACGGTCTGCACGATGCCCATGAGAGCTGAAATTGTAGTCTGTTGTTGCCGCAAGAGAGCAGCTCCTGCAACAGCAAGGCTTCGTACACGTTGTATACCCATTCCATCGAGCTCAGTCGATTAGGGTGGGATTCTGCACACACATCTGACCTCTGAGCATTTCCACTTCTTTGCGAGCTGATAAGCTGGTAATACACATGAAGCTTCTACATGCACCGAAGGCCCACACAAAGCCGCACAGGGCAACATGTCATCTGCTGTTGTCATTCTGAGGCAGAGGGTAGTGCAGCAAGCATTGCATCGGAGCTGGGCAGCCAGCGAACTCGCTGTTGCGACAGAAGGTTTTGCGCAGAAGACTGTACGGTACAACGGACAGCGGCAAAGCAAACACTTCTGGATTGTCCGCCATGTTATCACGAGGTGCCGGCTAATGACATTGGACATGTGAAGACAGAGTGAAGAGATACATTAAATCGCCTTCCTGCTGCAGGGCGTCATGCGCGCCACGGGTATGCAAAGTTGCAACTAAGGCCTTTGGTGGCATTGCATTGGTGTTTTCTAGTTGCAATACCAGTTTGCATGCTTGCTCTGTCTGGAGTCGACTGTTTTACTCTTTGTCTGGCAGGACTGCAGCACAGCTCGCAGCAGCAATTTTCCTGGCAACCCTTGCACCTCAGACGGCAACCTTTGTTTCCAGTTCAGGCTCCAGAAGTGATCAGGCAATGATTCAGCATGGCGTGCCAAGGCCACATTTTTCATGGCTGGCTGCTGCCCTACTTGCTGGTAATTGTGGAACAATCTGAAATCAGCCGGTATTTGTCAGGCCAAGAGGCCCCGATCGACTTCGTCAGTGCACGGTGGTGACTCGGTCGTTATAGGTTGTGCTTGTGCTTACATCTTCCTTGTCCTGTTTGTACACGTTGCCTATGATAGTAGCCGCTTGGTAGCAGGGTCTGGGTCCGGTGCACAAGGATTGGCCGTCCTGTGGCGAGAAGTCCTGGACGGATCCGCTGCGAAAGTGAGCACGCCCGATCCGCTGCCTGCTCGCAAGGATCGCGGACAGCTCGCAGAGCCGAGGCGCGCACGGACAGGTCGCACACGTTCTGCGGTGGTGTGCAGTTTTTTCGAGATGTGGGGTGCAGGAATTGGATGTGGAGGAGGAAGACGAAGCTCCAGACGTCGACTTGGACAAAGATCCCAACTGGCTCAAGGTGAAGCAGGCAGAAACTGTGCGTCATGCTGCGCTGGCCCGCCTTGGTTTCCTCCTCGCACTCCTCTGAGCTACTCGTAATCTAGCTGGAAGGAAATGGCACGCATTTGGGACATGCGTTACGAGGCAAGGGTCTAAGCCTGCTGCTGCGAGGCCCTCCTTTTGCTATCCCAGATGCAATGCTCAAAACTCAGTCGGAAGACTGGCTCATCGCAGACGATGTGAAAGCCCGGGCCTTTTGATTAAATGTCTTGTCCCACCTTGAATCCAGAACTGGGTCAAGCCTGCCTGCGGCAGCAAGTATACACGCTTTGAGAGAGAGTCGATTCTTGAAGCTGCCGGCAATTGCAACAGAAAGCCATGCCCTCGGGGAGTGCCGTTCAATCCTAAATTGTGATGTCTCCAGCAGGGAATCATGGACGAGCACCTGCAGACCATCGTAGGCTCCGCTCCAAGCTGTTCGCGGAGAGGGAGAGATTGGCATGGTGCACTTGGTGCACTGTGCTTTGGCATTTGGGCCATCAGAAGGCTCCCTTTCTCTTCGTCCTTCTACCTCTCTCTTGGTCCCCTCCCTGCCCTCTCTCCGGCGGCTTTGCTCTGGATGCGTTTGCTTGCTCCCCTTTCTTTACATTCACTCGCTGAGGCTCAAGTTTCCAGGCTCCTTCCTCTCCGTCGCTCTCCATCTCTTTCGCTGGAGCCCCGAGGCAAGAAGAACTACCTAGACATGGAGGACACCTTCGCGGAGGCTTCCGGGCATGCTTCCAGCAAAGCATGCGGCTTCTACATTAGGGAGTCCATCCACAAAAGTCCGTTTCAGTTGACGACACCATCGCATGTCGGTATGCTGTGTGTACTTTCTCCGTTGTCTATGTGCGGAGGCAGGCAGCCCACTTGGAAGCGACCAGTCTTCGTGCACAGTGTACGCTAGGGAAACACTGATACTGGTGTGAAATCGAGCGTGTACATGGGGAATGGCTGGTTGTGTGCGCTGTGATGCTATAATGATGTGTGTCTCGAGCGGATGCTTCGGAAATCGAGCGTCTAGTTGGGGAATGGCTGGTTTTGAAGTGCTGCGATGTTACTGCTGTTTGCGTTGAGCGGGCGCTTCTGGAAACGAGCGTCTACATGAAGAACGGCTTGTCACGTCTTCGTGCAGTATAAGTCACTACAATGCCAATGATGTGTGTCTTGAGCGGGCGCTTGTTACAGGTCTGAAAGCGCGTGCGCATGGTGATTAGTTGCCAAACTGGCAGACTTTTCAAGGCTTCGGGACAGAAATTTCCTAAGAAACCCTGCGCGTGGGACTCAAAATCCTAAGTTGACGTCTGTGCCAGGAATGTGCTAGGAAGCGCGTGGTCATGGGGAAAGCGATGTACAGCCATGCTGTGGGCGTGACTTCACACGCCCGGGTGTGACTTCACGCGTTCCCGCGTGGCCATGCGGTGGGGCGACTTCACGCGCCTGGGGGCGACATAACCCCTTGTAGGAGATATTCGATCTCACGATTGACGAACGTTGGTGGGCATGTGCTTCGAAAGAGGCCGAGAGCGCCAGAGTGTGAATGTGCAACACAGAGAGTTTGTTTGCATTGGATCAGGTGGTACTGATACATACTGATACCGTATCTTTTCGCACTGGTTCTTCAGTCCATCAGCCGTGGGGTAGGCCACAGCATCACTTGTTCAAAGCACGCATAGGCGTCTGCGAAACTGAGAGCAAGCTGACTTAAGTCTGTCGAGAGGCATGGAGGCAGCAACGGAATTCCAGAACTATCGCTGTCGCTGCAGGTGGCCGACGAGGAACCGAAGCCTGGCGAGATCAGCAAGGAAGACTTTACTGAGGCGCAGTATTAGCACAGACGCGACAAAGGATCCCAGTTCCATGCGGCATGCGATTCAGAGAAAAATGTCCACCCCTGAGATTGCTGGCGCCTACGTCTATGGCACCTTGTACACCGAGTGACAGCCGTCGGCTGCTGCGGAAAAGACCCTGGCGGCCTGGTGTGCTGTAGCACAAGATTATACGAGCATGCCGCTTTGTAGAATTTCAACCGATGCCGACATGGCTTCCATGCTGATATCGTCAACGTTCCACGAATCACCCTCCCGCCGTTTTGTCTCTTTGAAAGAGCGCTTGCTGAAGCTGTTTTTGTTTCAGTGCCTTCCCCCTGCCTATAGCAGAGTGGACAGTGGACGTGGCCACTTTGATGCATGTTTGTTGAGTGGGTTCGCTTGAACACGATGGTGTGACATGAGTGAGGTCTCACAGATTTGAGAGGTAGCAGTCGCGGATGGTCGATGTTTTGGACCTGAGGCAACA